GTCAGGACATGGGGAACCCCCAGAACCAGTGCCTGGGGGCACCAGCGACTCCGGGAGACTCCTCACCTCCCGGGCTGGATGGCACCTTCTGATGGAAGAGACTTTTTTCACTTTCTAGCAGCCCACCGTTATTTGTGTTCTCTCATACAGCCGCAGCACTGTGCTCTGCTGATGATTAATTTGGGGTTAATCAGGGATTCCTCATCAAGCCATTGTCTGAAACTCCCTTTTGCTTTGTTTTGCTCCACCAGGACCACGCTCGGCAGTTGGACACCTTCACCCTTCGTTCTGGCACGGGTCTGTCCCGCAGAGCCGCAGCATTTCTCCAACTGCTGCTGCAGACACCAAACCCGACGACGAGACTCTGAGCCGGCAGCGGGTTGATCTGAGCAGCTGCCAAACACCCACGGAATTTGCCCACCCAAAAGAGAGAGAGATTGCTATCACTTTTTATTTCCCTACTTTTCACAATTCATCATGAGCTACAGGCAGCAGATGACTCAGTTTCTTTTTTAGTGTCAGATGAGTAAAAAAATGCTATTTTCTTTTTTTATTCGTCAGCTTATAGATAATTTGCAGAGAAGAATGGCAATTTTCAAATGAATTTAGTTACATATCTCCATTTCATGCTGCTTTCCCCCTGAGACTCTGACAGGACTTTGAAGACAATAAACACAAAAATCCCTGCGGTCTCCGCACCGTCTGTGCGAGACCGTAGTGAACACTGCGAGCGCCCATCTAGGCACACACTTAGGCACAAAAAGATCAACATCACAATGACCAAAATTCGAAAATACTCCTTCAGCCCTCTGCAGGGGACCCCCCGCACCTCAGGCCAGGTTCAAAGCACCCCCTGAGCCGGGTTTGCTCTGCCTCATCCACACCCGGGTGCTGAGCATTTTCAGCCACGGAGACCTCCCTGAGACACACGTTTTTCACACATATTGAGCAAAGACACATGGACTTTTCCTCCTTGACCTCATCCCATCCCTCCAAGCGCTGCTGCGCACAACCCCTCAGCGCGGAGCTCCACCGCCCCTTGCTCCTGCACGGGGAAGGAGCTGCTGCTCGTTTCAACCCGTTCCTCCTCATCCCTCATTTCCAGTGCTAGGAGAATCACAGAATCACAGAATTTTCAGAGTTGGAAGGGCCCTCTAGAGCTCACCCAGCCCCACTCCCCTGCTAAAGCAGGACTGCCCAGAGCACATCGCTCAGGACTGCATCCAGGCGGGATTGGGAAACCTCCAGAGAAGGGACTCCACCCCCTCCCTGGGCAGCCTGTGCCACTGCTCTGTCACCCAAACCGTAAAGAAGTTTTTCTGTGTATTGGAACGGAACTTCCTCTGTTCCAACTTGTGCCCGTTGCCCCTTGTCCCGTCACTGGGAACCACCGAGAAGAGTCTGGCTCCATCCTCCTTCAACCCACCCTTTAGATATTTGTAAGCAATAATAAGGTCTCCCCTCAGCCTTCTCTTCTCCAGGCTAAAGAGTCCCCGCTCTCTCAGCCTTTCCTCATAAGGGAGATGCTCCAATCCCTCAATCATCTTGGTTGCCCTTCGCTGGACTCTCTCCAGCAGTTCCCTGTCCCTCTTGAACTGGGGAGCCCCAAACTGGACACAGTATTCCAGTTGTGGCCTCACCAGTGCCGAGCAGAGGGGGAGAATGACCTCCCTCGACCTACTGGTCACACTCTTCCCTATGCAGCCCCGGATGCCATTGGCCTTTTTGGCCATCACCATCCACCCCAGTTCACTCTTCACTGGTGGAAATCACTTTGTTTTCAGCCACAAAGTTCCACCTGCAATCAGCCCCTAATGAAGCAGATGATGATTAACAGAGACCAAAACACCTTTTAGCATAAGGGTGCTAAAAAGCCATTATTCTCCCTTTAATCTTCAATCATTAATGACATGACATGCAGTAAACAGGGTACCGTATGCTGTTTGTTTAACATAACTTTATTTGCATGACAATAATGTTAAATTATACTGCCGGCTTTATGTAAAACCAAGTAAAGATAGAATTACGGCCTTTCCCGAGGTACCCTGCTGCATGTAACACATCCGTCAGGAAGCCACAGTCACTGAAAATTCAAATAATTTAGGTCCAACTCCAGTAATATTGCCAACAGACTCTGAAAAAGCCCTTGAAGGAACACAAAGACCTGTCTGGATGCAGAGGTATCCACCCAGAGGGTCCCCCCTTTTCTGAAGCCAACCAGCACGGGTACACCTGGAGACCCCTCGGCAGTGAGCGCCCTCACGCACTGGCTGTTGGAGCAGGTTTCCCAGAGAGGTGGGAGATGTGATAGGACGAGGGGGAAGAGCTTTAAACTAAAAGAGGCAGGATTTAGGTGAGATCTGAGGGGGAAATTGTTGGCTGTGTGGGTGGTGAGCCCCTGGTGCAGGTTGCCCCGAGAAGCTGTGGCTGCCCCATCCCTGGAGGTGTTCAAGGCCAGGTTGGACGGGGCTTGGAGCAACCTGGGCTGGGGGGAGGTGGCCCTGCCCAGGGCACGGGGTGGCACTGGATGGTCTTCAAGGTCCCTTCCCACCTAAACCCTTCTGTGACTCCATGACTCTCACAGCCGGTTATGAGCATCCCCGCTGCACCGGAGACTGGCAGAGCTGAGGGAAACCCAGCCCAGCCAGGGCAGCGCTCGAGACGTCACTTGACAGAGATTTCCAAGAAGGTTGGTCTTGGAGAAACTCAGTGACTGTGGGGTAGAAGATCACAGAATCATGGAATCGTCTAGGTTGGAAGGGACCTTTAACATCATCAAGTCCAACCATCAGCCCAACACTGCCAAACCCACCACTAAACCACATCCCTCGGCATCACATCTGCCCATCTATTAAATTCCTCCAGGCATGGTGACTCCAACCACTTCCCTGGAAGCGCTGTCCATCTCCCACGTCCTTCACCTCAGCAATAAACGTAGGGAACATCACCTGGGGCTGCGTTAGCAAGACCTGAATGCTTTGGGGTCCCCACAGACATGATTTTTTTATCCCTCACAGCCTGGAACTGGGAAGAAATTCCCAGCAAACCCCTGTTGTGTTTAAATCCTCCCTCCCCTTGAGAAACGTCAGTGGGGCTACAAGTCCAAGGTCTGTGTGTCAATAAATAACGGACCCCCAGGGCAGGGAGGGCCCACAGCCGTGCCCCAAACTGGCTGCTGGTGCCTCGGGGGACCCCAACCCCACCCCACCCCAAAATGGGAGCGGGGACCCTCTGGTGACCCTCAACCACCCCCCCTGGACCTCACCCTGGCTCTTTGAGGGAACCCAATCCCCCCCCCAGGTCCCTCCTGAGACCTCCACAGACCTTTTGGGACCCCAACCCCCCCAAAACGGACCCCCACAGCCACCCACACACACACCCCCAGCCCTTTTGGGGACCCCAAAAACCCCCAAGTGCCCCTGACACCTTGCCTCCCAAACTGGGTGCTGCGACCCTCTGGGGACACCAAAACTCCCTCGGACCTCCATCGTCCCTTAGGGATCCCAAAGCCCCCCCACAGCCCGCCCGAAATGGGTGCTGCAACCCTTTGGAGACCTCCAACACCCCTGGACCTCCACAGCCCTTTTGGGACACCAACACCCCCCTAGCCCTGCCCCTGACCCTTTTGGGAACTCCAAAATCCCCCAAAACAGGTGCTGGGACCCTTTTGGAGCATAAACAAAGCCCCCCCACAGCCCGCCCGAAATGGGTGCTGCAACCCTTTGGAGACCTCCAACACCCCTGGACCTCCACAGCCCTTTTGGGACACCAACACCCCCCTAGCCCTGCCCCTGACCCTTTTGGGAACTCCAAAATCCCCCAAAACAGGTGCTGGGACCCTTTCGGAACATAAACATCCCCCCAGAGCTCCCCAAAACAGGTGCTGTAACCCTTTGGTGACTCCCAACCCCCCTCCCGGGTCTCCCTGGCCATTTTGGGGATCCCAAAAACCCATAAATCCACACCACACCCTCCCAAAATGACCGCTGGGACCCTTTGATGACCCCCAAAGCCACACGGGGGCCACCCTCTGGCCTTCTGGGGAACCCCAAATCCCCCCAAAATGGGTCCTGGAACCCTTTGGGGGACCCCAACACCCCCACCCTCCAGCCTTTCTGGGAACTC